TCGAGTTAGCCCTGGGTTTCGTCACTACGTATTGTCTGACCTTTGCTAGGAATCGCGCGCTAAAAAATAAGAAGTTGTTAATCCTTACTCGTACAAGTTTCGACTAGGTGGAGGGACGATAACTGGTTAGTTAGTTCAAAGACATTATGGAAACACATGTCAATCCAGTCATCAACTTTACTTGTAATTACGAATTAATTCTGATGAGTAGGAGATGAAGTAGAATAATTAGTCTACTTTAGCTTCTGAAAACGCCATATAAGTCAGTGCAGTTCTGGAGTTTTGGATACCTATATATTTGCAATCAAGGCATTTCCCATCAGGTTTTTAGAACGAAAAAAAATACTTTCCGGAACTTTGGCCATTTTGAGAAAGCTGAGTAGATAAAAAAAAAATCAAATTATTTAATTCATTATAGGCAACATTTATAAATATGATAATTCTTTGATTAATTATTCGTTTTACATCGCACAGAAATTTTTCGGGGTAATAATGGGAGGTTGAAAACCCAAATAACATCAAGAAACATTATTTGCCTGTCATAAATTCAGATCAACAACGGGTACTCTTTATTCAACAAATAGTTGATAATAAATCTCTTTTATTTATGTATCCACCTCCGCCTCCGTTAACCTCCGTTTACGCAAGGGGAACCTCTGTACTTTCATATCCGTTTCCGTTAACGTGGCCTCTGTTACAACACTAGTTGAATTGCAGATATTTTTCAGAGAAGAGAGCCACACACTCTGAAACCTGGGCCCGTGGACCCTGCAAACCGTCAGCTACGCCACTGGTCAGTGATTTGCCTTTTGTTTTTATATTCTTTGGTTCGCCTTTATTCTTGTTATTCCAATAGATATCCTTCCACGATATGGAAAATGTAATCCTGACTAGACAAGGCATACCTTTCATTTTCTATCCTCTGATTGAATTTTTCGTGAATTTTGTAGATACATTTTAAGTACCTCTTGAATCTTTTACCTTTTGTTATACTTCCAATAATTATACCTCCAATTTTCGATTAATTATTATTATTTTGATGATTTGTAATGGTTTACCATTAAAGGTAGAAGTTTCGTCAATTGTAATTTACCATATCGAGATGACCCAGTATATTTATATTTGTATATTGGGTTTAGACCCAATGAAAGCTCCCATTTTCGCNTAATATTCACTGTTGATGGTATTTCTCTTCTCAAGATAGTTAATGAATATTACACCACGCACATTCCGAAATACCGGGGCCATGACCTTTCCAGCCGATTTTTGTGCCTTTGGGCGCTTTAGACGAGGTTCACCAGTTGATCTCCACTCGGATGACGACCGTTTTGATTCCGGAGTAAAGTGATGGATCAATGTTTCATCCATTATCACATATCGGCGCAAAAAATTCGGTTTGTTATGTTTAAACATGGCCAAACACTTTTCAGAATCAATAAGATATTCTTGTTTTTGATAAACAGTGAGCTTGCGAGGCATTTTGAACAGATCTTTCTCATAGTCAAATGCTCAAGCAATATAAAGGCAACACGTTATTTTGTTATCTTCACAATGTCAGCTAACTCACGCAATTTCACTTTTCAAAGTTTCAAAACGATTTTGCGGACTTTTTTATGTTTTCTGGTGTAACTATAATTCGTTCAGTATTGTCTGAGAGTAAAAGAATTTCAAGAATGCAAACATGTCACTACATCAAAGAAAGCAACATAGTCGTCTCAAGCAAATAGCACTGCAATTCACCCACAAAATCATTGAGATATGTCTACCCTCTATATCCTTGAGGACGCCGCTAACGAGCCATTAAAATAGGGATATGCGACAAAGAACGCGAAAACACCGACAAAGAATGCGAAAATATTGCCAAAAGAACCGCTCGATGTTTTTTCTGATATTACGTTTAAGATAATATTAATAGGCGTCGGACTGGGGGTATTAATATAAATTTTCCATTGATATATTCTGTATGATGAGGAGATAATTGAAATATGGTGAAAACTAATTTTGTTTAAATATTTTATTTTGGGAAGGACAATTTATGTTTGAAATAGTTTTTTATTATTTACAATTGTTACCTTCTACAGATCTATAAAATAATCAGAATATTAAATTTACAAATAGATACAAATGTAGAAAGGGCAAAAAGTTACTGCATTTGATAAATTCGCTTTTTGGAAAAAAAATCAAATCTGTCATTAACTTGAATTTAAAAAATTTTGCATATTGAAAGAAATATGTATCATCTGGTGACGCTTTGAAGACTCTATCCATTTTCTTCAACCAAACTATTTAAATCAAAACATTATAATTTGTAGTTATGTAAATGAATTTGATATTATTATTATCATTGACACTGATAATATCAAATTGATCGTCGGTATGATAATGAAGATGGATAAATTATTCGAAACATCACCAGATAAGTATACAAATAGAATAGATTTCCGCGGTTAGAAATTTGAACATCTGATTTCGAGTTGAACCGCGTTCAAAATTTTGCGTTGTTCGACGTTTCGGCTTCGACTTTGACATTTTCAGGAAGTAGAAAAGTGTGGCTTCACTGAATGATACACTTTATATATTCTTGTTGGTTTGGAAATGAAGATTCATATTCCTGATTGGATTTTATAGTTGATTCAGAAACAATTTTATAGATTTAATGGGAATACTTACTTAGAATAAGACATTGCGATAATTTTAATCTGAAAAAAGTCTACAGAGATTCGTTGAGTGATTCACTGGATGAATCAGTTTCATTAGGGTCGATGACAACTGGAATAATTTTTTCTAATAATGAGTCTATGCGATCATCCAGATCGCACATCTCTGCTTCGATTCTGATTGTTTTGTGGATACATTTTTCCCAAGCTTTTTGGTCGACTGTTTCCAGAGCACTGTATATGTATTTCTTTACTTCACACAGCTTGAAGGTCTTATTATTCCTTGCGATGAATCCTTCAACTTGAGCCCAAACCAACTCAATTGAATTCAATTCACAGTGATAAGGCGGCAACCGAAGAACCGACATTCCTTTAGTCTTCGCCATCTCATAGGTGACGTATCTGAGGAATTTTGACTTATGACGTTTATTCAAGTTGAGGAGCTCCGCTTTTAACATGGTCGATTCAAAAAGAATAGCTTTCATTTGTAATCACTCAGTAATATCTGCTTTCTGCCAACGGCAGCTTTTCGACTCGTCTACTGTGGTAACTTGCGTTATCCATTACTATTACGGATCCCTGCGGAAGTTTTACAAGCATGTTTTTAAACCATTCTTCGAATTCTGTGGCATCCATTTCTTGATGATAATCCCCATTCTTCTTCGATTCAAACACCATCAATCCATCTTTCACGAATCCTTCACTGCTGCCTATGTGAGTGATGATAAGATGACGACCTTTTCCAACTGGAATTTTTAAACCAGTGGACCAACCTTCCATAAAAGCTTTTCTTCCCCTTTTGATGTTCTGATCTTACCAAACCTTCGGGACGGTATGACCCTCATTGGCCTATGTTTCATCCAAATAAAAAATAGATTTACCTAGTGCTCTGACTTTATTTCTCTCAAATAGTTTCTTCTCCATTTTACAATCTCTGATTTTTCTATTAACATGCTCTTTCTATCTTGCTTTACAAAAGTGAAATTCAGCTCATGTAATATCTTCCATAATCGAGTTCTTCTCNCGATCCATGCACCAGACACTTCAAGGTCACAACGCCTTGACTTCACTGCACAACAAAAAAACTTCACCAAACAACAACCAATAAAAAAAGCAATTAATACGTCATAGTGGTGGGGGGAGGCCGAGAATCAGCTGTAAACAACTACTGAGTTTCCGTTTTTTCGAAAACTCTCTCATTCCTCGACTGAATGGACTGCCGAATGGAAGGCAGCTGCAAATCTCTGTGGATGGCTTCATTCCGCACGAACCAAGGAGCATTCACAATCATCCTCATTATCTTATTTTGCAACCTTTCCAAAATGGAAATGTTGGACGGAGCCGCTTGTAGATTATAATAGTGGTCTGCTAGATTGAAGTGTTCATTTATTTCGAAACTTCGTAAGAGTTTGCTGCTTTCATCAGAGGTTGAGTCATTTTTGAAGATCATCAGTGGTATTATTTGATTGACTGGTGCCACAGCTATACTTGTTGTCTCATAATAGTCAGTTACTTTGCCGCATATTTGGCGATACAGTTGATCATCACCCGTTTAAAGTTCTAATTTCAGATGATTTAACAATGCGCTTTGCATGGACTGGTTATCAGTCATAGTTGAAGTTCCAGAAAGTCACATACGTTTTTGCTACCTCTTGAACATGTACTACAAAGTAAAATAGTGAGGATTTTTCCTGAAAAAGAACTACAAATACAAGACGAGATAGACTGTACGGAATTAATCAATCCAGAGCGGTGGGGACTATTGATTCTGCTACTTTCCTGCTCACGAAGAGTATTCAACACGAACCCCAAGAATTCGAAACGAGTATATAGTGGACTTAAAAGAATCTAGGAAATCGGTTGGTGGGAAAGATGATACATTCTTAAGAATCTGCAGCTACATGAACAGGTGTTCGAATCTGATCAATAAGTGTTAACTTATGTAATTATAATTTTTTTGTATCCACTGCGTTGAATTAGAAAAATTGACAGAAAAGAAATGAATCACTTTTAAAACGAGCTATCTCTTTGAATTTTGAGAGTTTGTTGAGTTTGGAAATGTGTGCGAAGATTTTTCCATCAAAATATAAATCGACAGATACGTCCGATTTTTTAAAACGTCAACTACAATAATTCTTTCCTGAGTACAGAGTGACGCTGGACAACCCAGCGTCACTCTGTACTGAAAAATCCGGTTTGGCCTGGTTTTTGTAACCACTCAGTACCCGTATGATCAATTAATGAGTCCCAATTTTGGTCCTAATATGATCAATTAGTTTCTACTTCCCACCTGGCGTACGAAGATCGAAAGAAGCACTTTCATTGTTTACGAGTATAGTAACGGTGACCAACGTTCTCATAACGGTAAACTGCGGAGTAATCGAGCGAAATGAAGATTATCTTGGTGACCAGTTTGTGCTTCAGCTGGCTTTCGTTTCTGTTGGCAGCACCGGCCATCGATTCTACTAGACGAATAATTATAGTGCCTGCAAGGTTTGTTTTTTTTTTTAAATTCCGCTAGACAAAACATTTTGAAATGATTCAAGTAATAATGTTCTTAACGAGAACAACTGGTCAACTTCAAATAGTACTAAAATAATTGAAATAGAAATTCACTGACATAGTTTGCTTCAAGCAAAATATTCGAAGACTTTTTCTTTCTTTTGCCGATTTATTTGCACTTAATTGTTATGTGGCACAAACAAGTTCATTTCAGATTTCAACCAGCCTATGGAAATTTACTAATTTGTTTCATGTTTCTTCAGAACCTTTATATATGCCCGTGAAAGTCTGGAAAGTTATAGCTCAACCATTGAAAAAATACATACTTATACGATTCAATATGAAATTTTCCCTTAGATGATTCACTTTCTTGGATTCTCGATTTACCAATTGATTTAAAACTATCCATTGTTCTTGATTGAGAAATTAACATTTTTTGACCTTGAAGGAAGATCTCCCACNTTTCGGGAAACACATACCCAATATATCCCGACAAAAATTAACGTTTGAGCAGGAATATTGGAAAACCATATTGTAGGACCTCTATTCATTGATCAAAATTCAACAGGGGAACTGTATTTGAATATGCTAGAAACTACTGTTGAACCTCTCATCACTGAAGTTGTTGTCGAAGCAAATCCTAATGAATTCGATATGGATATTGTATTCCAACAAGATGGAGTACCACCAAATTACTCCAGACAAGTGAGAAACTATTTGGATACTACTTTTACCGGTCGTTGGATTGGCCGTCGAGGTCCTACAGAATGGCCAGCCCGCTCGCCAGGTTTGACTCCTTTGGACATTTTTGTGGGGCCTATTGGAGCAAAAGGTGTACAAAACTATGTTCGAAACTGTTCAGCGTGAAATATCAGATAGGCTGTTCATATGTCAAGAAGTTCAAGGCAACAATTTCAAGTATCTTCTGAACTGACCTCAAGCTTATTACCTCATATTATGTAGTTAAATGTCAATGTATCCAGGCAATTATTTAAAGTTCCGCCGTTTTGTAATAGTTGAAGATATTGATTTTATATTCTAGGGTTGTGAAGTATTCGTCAGGAGCTTCAAAATGATGAATAACAAATTTCCCCTTTACATTCAATTTTTTTTTGGTTTGACCCGTTCAAAAAATAAAAGAGAAAGGGTACATATTAAAGAAATGCACTGTAAATGGAAGAGACGCTTGATTACCAATGGAGATAGTTATAAAATTTTGTCGATACTGTGAAAACTTTTTTAGACATATGAACAGTAATGATTGAATCGAATGTAACGGATCAATGTGGGAGTTATTTGAAAAACAGGTCATCAGGTTTGATCTGACAAAATGGAAAACGTCATTTGACGTAAATATTTTTTCAAATATAATAAAAAAATTGTATTTATCGATGGAACTTTTGTAGAAGCTAACAAAATGCCGAAATAATTATAAGAAAGTATACTGTTTTACAAAATTCAGGTAAAGAATCGTGTTCAAGGAGACATTTACGCTATAAATTTGCCCCTAGAGTTAATTATTTTACTGACGAGTTCCGCACCAGCCTTAATCATTCATATGTGTGAGTTTTGAATTCCAAATCCATCAGTATTCGACTTTAATAGAATAATTACCGCTATTAAAGTATCTCATTATTATTTGTGGAAAAATTGTCGATTATTATATCTCAATTTTATTCATAATGGAAGGATCAAATGTTCATCTTGAGTTATTAAATTCAATAGTTTTCTCATAATAGATAAGTGATGATCAAAACGATTCACGTGGGATGATTTCATATAATTAACGATATCATACTCGAGATGAACCAACATTGTACCTGGTGAAACAAATTGAATTACGCAGAATACACTTTATATAATATAAAGTTGGGGTTTACCAAGATCGTTATAGTGAGCTATATTACAGTGAGTACTCCTAAATATATGCAGGAAAAAAATGCAAAATTATTACAACATTTTTAATTTCATTGTTCTATGGAAAGCATTTCAGCAAATCGCTTGAGAGCTAAACATTCTTCAGTGTATATTAAGGAGCGCAACTTACAGTTATTGAAAACACTATTCCAACACCAGATCAAAATTACGGTCTCTCGACTCGCGTTTCGCTAATCAAGTTAGCGTCGCGCGTCGAGAAACCGTAATTTTGTTCTGGTGTTGGGATATTGTTCGCAATAGATTCTTTTTATATTGTATTGTATTGTATTGTATTTATTGTATTATATTGTACTTAATTGGTCAGTAATACACGACATAGTGTTTTGACAAGTCATTGACTACACCTAATCCTAACTCTAAATAAAAATTAATGAGATCTAAATTCAGAGTTGTCATAATAGGCAGAGCATTGTAAGTGAGTTTTCGGTTTTGCTTCAAAAATGGCTATTGGAGCTTCTTTGATAAAGTCTGCTAGAGAGTTGATTAATCTGATACCAATAAATTTTTTATTCGTAGAGGTCAATCTGTTATTTGGAATAGCGGTTTGGGATTTCATTCTAGTCAGATAATTGTGTGTACAAATGCATGTGCGTTTTTATGTAGATTAGTTCGTTGTAAATAATTGCTGACGGAAGTGTCAGTATTTTAAACTCAATGAACCATGGTAAGCAGAGATGGCTGCCTCCAAGTTCACTAGCGATTTCATCCGTCTAATTGCAAATATTGCTTTTGATCACTTGCTTGTTAATTGATCTTCATGAAGTTTCCAATTGAAATTGGGATCAATAATATGCCCTAGAAATTTTACGCTCTGAGTGGCAGTATGCTTGATATTGAAAATAAGTCTCTGAGTCTTGCGTGTGTTCAAACTTAGTTCGTTTGCCGTGAACCACTCAGTAGCTTGATTGATGATCGATCCTATCATTTCCTCAATTCTTGTAGAATTCTTTTCGATTCTGGTTGCGAAGGTAGCATCATCGGCAAACAAGGTTGTTTGCCGATGATGCGTTTATGCTTTTGGGTAGGTCATTTATATAAATCAAGAACAATAGCGGTCCCAAAACGCTTCCTAGTGGAACACTTTTGCGTATCATCAGACTTGAACCGCTCTGATTATTGCAGTGAACTATTTGGGATCTATTTTGAAAGTATGAGGTCATCAGTTTTATTGCGGAGTCAGAAAATCCGTAGAATTTTAATTAGTAAACTGTGATTGTCACAGTCAAACGCTTTACGGAAGTCAACGAAAACCGCCAGAGAGGGAGTTGCGGCTTCAAACCCATCGGCTACAAACTCAACAAATCTTCTCACTGCTTCAGCTGTCGATTTTCCTTTCCTGAAACCATATTGATATTACGCCAGAGGTTCCAGTACGAACTATCAAACTTGAAGTTGCTAGAAATTCTTCAGTCTTCATTAATGAACACAATTTGAAGTATTTTTGAATACACTTACAAATTACCAGAGGTTCCATAGGACCACAGCCTATCAGCCCAGATTTTGTTTTCCCTAATAGATATAGAAAATCTTTGGCAGAAGCGCTAAAAAGTTCGAAAAACCGGATGCTTGAATTCAAGATTATGTCGGTTACTGTTCAGATTTTCTCAGAAAAGACGCTGCTTGTGATCGTTGATTCAGTATCACAAGATGGGACAGCAGCTGGTCGGGTTGACGTGGGTGGTTCACTCCACTCACTCAATCGACCGCTGTGTGAATCGGTGGTTTAAGCTGCAAAGTCAGACGATCTATTTTTACTTCTCATCATCCAATCCGTGCTGGGAATCACACGTTGAAAGGTAAGACCTTCTTAGTCCTCCGCTCGAACGAGTTTCAACTTTTGAAAGTTGTCGTTCGTAGTGGGACGACAGCTGGTTAACGAAAAAACAGATTTTTTAAGAGATTAAATTCTCACATCGATGCAAGACTACTGAAGCGTAGGGTTGCTTCTTTACCAAAAAGAATTTATAAAGCTTTACCTGCCGTGTGAATGTACAAGTATACGTATCCTATAGGGGTATATTTCAGGGTGATTCCCGCAGTCTCCTTCTTTTCGGCATCTCACTATTGCCATTATCTGTAGAGCTCAGGGAATACTCGAGGGTACAACTGTGGCATCTTCGAAAATCGGAGGCATGAAGTCTCTCATTTGTTTTATGTGAATGCTCTTAAACTGTATGCCTCTGGAGAATAGGATCTCCATCTGTTCTTGAGGATGTTGGAAGAATGCACTCCTACTATCAGTATGGAATTCGAGATATACATGCTGGGATTAAGGGGAGGATATATAACTTGTAGACGGAAGCATCCTACACTATCTGGATAAACTGCCCTCTTGGGTCGGGAAGACGGTAAAGGTCATTTCGAGAATTCTGTAAACGGTTCGGTACTCGTCTACAATTTTACCGGCGGTTCTAGACTGCATTCTTTCGAGGTGAGATCATGTTTTTGTTCGATGAGTCAGCGGGCGTAGTCAGGGGCGGCTTCAGGTTCGTTACACAACACATAATTCTCTGACTCGATGATTTCTTACCTCACGGCGTGTGAAGTGCTGGCTATTCGTTACTAAGTCCGGCCGTATACGGACCACATATTTGCAATTGAGGTAACCACAACATTGTGGTCACGTTGACTGCACTTCGCAGTTGACCCAACCACTTTTTTGTGGTCGACTTGCGGTAATAAACCGCACTTGCAGTTGAGGCAACTGATATCAAAAATTTAATGCTGTGAGACCAATATGTACGCAGTTGGGTACGACTGCAAGTTTGTGGTTAGTGTACGGCGGATGCCGCGATGGCATCTCGGCGGAGATCAGCAGCAAGTTGACTGCAGAAGTCCGTTTTGACTTTTGTGAACGCCCGTGTACGTGTAGTACAGTATTTTTTATGGGCGGCTTGAGTTCGCTGAAACGCGACTGCGATTTTGTGGTCGATTCGACCGCAAATTGTGGCTAGCTCTCTAATACTGGCGCAACCTCAGTAGTTTTGGAGCTTCGGGGAAAGGACCCGACTCGCACCACTTTTGAAGAATAACAGTGATTATAATAATAATTCAATAGAGAAATTATATTTCCCATTTTTCTTTACTCAAGAATGTAAATAATTGGATGATTTAGTGTTTAAGTTTGTTTCAGTTTACTTATTATCGTGACTCTTCAATGAAATACGACCTCATTTAGTTTTCACTTTTCAATCATATTTGAATTTTTCAGTTTTCTTCAAAATGAACATATCCTTCAGGGCCAAAATAGAGGCCCTCTGGACTTCATTGGCAACTTGATCCAGTCTTCAGGATTCTTCCCAATAGAAATAAACGTACCCGATACTTTTGGATCGATAGGCAATGGGGTAGGAACTCTAGCAAACAACGTTGGAAATTTTGCTCAAAACGTTGGAACTGGCTTCCAGACATTCACTCAAAATGTTGGCAACGGCTTCCAGAACTTTGTTCAAAGAGTTCCTATCTTGGGCGCCTTCGTACGACCCGTTGGAGGGAGTGTAACTACGCAAAAGTACTTCATCTTGGTTCCTACACAGAAGAATGCTGATCCTGACCAATTACTTAAGAAATTGGATAATTTTCAGAAAAGCACCGGTCAGGTAGACAGTGATATTTTTGATTTCTTTCCATGAATTTGTTTATATCTACAAAAAAGTTTCTTACTTCATTGTAATACGAATACTGAAGACCTCAAAGATATCTGGTGAAAATCGTGAATGAAAATTAGTTCGGAGTATAATATGAAAAAATGAACTTGTTGTTATTTTGCACTCCTGATGTTTCTCATTGATTGAAAGGGATTGAGTTTCATTAAAAATGATTCCTGAATATCTTCAAGATGTTATAAAACTTTCAGAAATTAGATCAATGCAAAAACGCTTCATAATTTTCTGGAACATATTTTTTTGAATTCATGATTTTGGATCACAAACTTACAGAAGAGTTATGTTATGGATTTCTCTTTGGGTAACATATTGGTTGATTGTTTCCTATCTTTCGAAATATAAAAGAAACTGAATATTCATGTACAGGGTTTATAGTATGTTAGAGATCGAAGTGATCTACTCAAAGATAGATTCTCTTCAAAACAATGAACAAAATTAAATTTGGTCTAAATCATTTGAAATTTTCATTTGTCAGCGTTGTGAATTCAAAAATGATGTTCTTGCACTTGTTTTTTCTCTGTATAGATTGATACTAACTGAAAAAGTAGAATGACTTTCTAATTTCACGTGATAACTCCATTTTCATTTATTTATTTATTTATTTATGTTGGTATTTTTATGTGAAATATTTATTTTTTATATTATTATGTTACTATATTAAATTATTTGTTAATTTTCCTGAAAATGTTTTTTTTTATTGGTAATTTTTATTGATATTTCATTTTCATCCAAATATCTTGATGCAATTTCGAACTAGAAGTATACTCATACTTATAAATCATTCGAGCATGTAATGGCCAGTTTTTACGAGTAGAATACTATACTTTTTTGTGAAATGAAATTATTGCCTGAGACTGACAAAATAACAGTGGGATATATGAAATTATTTTTACAGAATATTTTGGGCTTAGGTGACCTTAAAAAGTTAGAAACATCAACTGAGATTATTTATAAGAGTACTAAGGTAAACAACCGTACTGGGAAGTATCAAGAAATTATAAGTTTTGCTATTTATCACTACTGAAACAATAATCTAATGGAAAGAAAAGTATATTCATTACTTTCTTGTAATACATAACGAGATACTACAAAAATATTTTATTGGTGCAAAGTCTCGCATTACATTCATACCTACTGCATATAATATGATGATTGTTGAGCTGCATTGCAATGAACAGTTAAGTTAGGTTAGGTGGAAAGTGAGTGGGCCTATTTGTCCCTCCCCCGCAACCTGCAAGGGTTTATTCTGGCTCACACCTATTCAAACTCGACCAAATAAACCCAACTTCTTGACGAAGCCGATTAGTTTATATGGTGAGTGATCTTTCAGGTCAGATGGTAGAAGTGTGGTTCTACCAAACTCTGAAAACCTGATTCGATCCGCAGCGGGGCAGGCACGAAGTATATGCTCTGCTGTTTCATCATTTTCCAAACAGAGGCGACACACACTGTATTCCGACAGTTCGAGTCTCTGCATATGATGATTCAGACGACAGTGACCTGTGAGGAGGCCTGTTAGACATCGTAGTTCATCCCTACTGTAGTCCAACAACTGTTTGGTTTCAGGCTTCGAAGGGTGAGTCAATCCTGGAAGATTTTGCCAGAAGTCTTTGAATCTTCTTGCCATCCAGGTTTCAATGTTTGTTTGGCAAAACCTAAAGCAATGCCAATGATAGGTTCTGTTTCGATGAAGCTACTTAGAGCACCCTGCTTTGCAAGGGAGTCAGCAGCTTCATTGCCTTCTAGGCCAGTGTGGCTTGGACCAGAGACAATTTGTTGAGTCTTCCTATTGAGGAGAGTCGTTTTTGACAATTTTCCACCAATTTCGACGTTGCTCGGTAGGAGACAAGATCTTCCAACGCCGCTTGACTGTCCGAGATAATTTTTATTGACTTGTGTGTGAGGTTGGATTCTACCAATCTCTCCGCACACAATTCAGTAGCATAGATTTCCGTTTGAAATACAGTCACAAATGTCCTTAGGCAGGTTGATATCTCTTTTCTGTCATCTGCAACTGAAAACACCTGCACCATAGCCCGCAGATGTTATTGATCCATCTGTGAACCAACAACTATCTGCTCTCGAAATTTCCTTCTCCCGGAAGATCCAATCCTCTCTACTCGGGAAAAGAACTGTATGATGCAGTTCGTAGTTGACAGTTGGATGTGCCCAAGTCTAAATACAGTCCATGTAGCCTCTCTAGAAAAATGTGGAGAGGAGGTAGTTCTGGAAGAATCTCCATGGCCACTGACAGTGTGGTACTGATGGCACCACAAACAGCCAGACAAGCTTGTCTCTGTATGCCAGAGAGCTTCACCTGAGCCGTTTTTTGTAAAGCCTTCGGCCACCAGGCAATTGCCCACATATATTCAATGGATTTGTTTGGGACCTAAATCCCAAGTTTTACAGTCTGGATTTGTGTAGAACTTTTTACAAATGAGCGTTCCACGTCAGTTTTGTATCAAGGATAATGCCAAGATATTTCACTTCCGTTCCAAATGGAATGACCTCCCCATTGAGGGAAAGTGGCATTAGATCATCCAACTTTCTCCTTCTGGTAAAGGAGTTCATCACAGTTTTGCTGGGGTTGATAGACAACTGCTCCCTCTGGCACCAACTGTGAACCACATCCATCGTACTTTGGAGGATAATACTACACGCTACTCTTCCCAACGTAGACCTTGCCAAAGCTTGCACTTCTACTCCTCTTCTAACGAGGGCATCAAGCGGACTATCCGTCAGGAGTGACCACAGGAGGGGATATAGAACTCCACCTTAAGGGCAGCCTCTGGTGACCATGAACCTAATGACCTTCAGTCTGTCCCGAGACTCTCTCTAAACCAAAAGCAATTGACCATCTATATTCGTTCAGAGGTCAGATACATTCACAAAATCAGAAAAGTTTGAAATGCAAAGAAAGAAGAAAGTTCACGATATCCCAACCGATTACGGAATTTCGTTTCAATTCTGATAATTCATTTGATATGTTCGTAGATGAAGAGTTTCAATGATTATTCGATTAAAACCATTCATTTGTTGTTCATTTGACAATGTAGTCCTTGATTACCACAATTCGTATACAATTTTGAATCATAATAGAACCACTTAAACTGCACTTTATCCAATGTTTTCTATGTTTTCTTATACATGGTATAAACTTATCGATTCATTTTCAAATTTTCAAAAGGTTAAAAAAAATTGCATAAATGAAAAAAGTCCCATCAGAAAATATGAACTTTATTATAAATAAATTACAAAATTAATTGAAAATCACTATCACTCATTATTTTAGAAAAACCTCAGTTCTTTGCATAAAGATATCCACTCTGGTTTGAACCGTCAGTGTGACCTGCTTTGAGTTGTGCCTCAAATTTAGCTTTATTTTCATCGTAAACCTCTTTGATGCCTTCTCTCCTAACTAGCCCTTCTTTATTTACTATTATACCAACAGGGTAATCGAAATTGTAGTAAAATCCTTTTGGTGGCCCTGTTGTGTCTTCTTCTTCCAATTTGGGATTGTATTGCCCAGAATTGTCTACTTCATGCGTAGCTTTGGATCCGGACTGCTGGTATGAACCAGATTGTTGATATTGTCCAGAGCTGGGAACTTGACCAGGCTTGGAGTAAACATTTTGGTTCTCACTGTATTGGCCAGTGTAATCAATTTGATTTTGGGAACCACTGTATTGGCTAGGTTGTTGATATTGCCCAGGCTGTTGATATTGGCCAGGTTGTTGATATTGACCACCTTGTTGATATTGTCCGGGTTGTTGATACTGTCCGGTTTGTTGATACTGACCGGTTTGTTGATATTGACCGGGTTGTTGATATTGTCCATGTTGTTGGTATTGACCAGGTTGTTGGTATTGTCCAGGTTGTTGATATTGCCCTTGTTGATATTGTCCTTGTTGATATTGTTGTTGGAATTGTTTTTTGAATTCTAGCTGTCCTTGCGCTGAGAGAGGTCCACTGGCATATTGGCCTTCACTATTGTAGGGGTCCCTGTAAGAAAAATGAAATATTAGTAAAGCATGTGTCATGTTAGTAAAGCAACCAGTGTCAAGTGGAAATTTTCAAAATATTGATTCAATTCCCCACTACTGATGAATGCTGATACTTATTACGATCATATGATTTTCTGAAATTGAAACTAAAACATGAATCAGTATATAACTGATTCCATACGAATATCTTCATATTCGAAAATACGTACGTCACTGGATGTTTATTCCGTTCAGCTTCCTCATGCCATCTGGCCAAGAATTTTTCTTTTGCAGCTTTTACTTCAGGAGAATCGTCAATTTGTTTTGGCAGAATTTTTGGTACGTTATCAATTTGATGGAAACCATTACCATTATCCCAGTATTCCACCTGCAAAAAAAGCGTGAAATTCTTGTTATAATAATAATAATAGCTTTATTGTCCAACAGTTACCCATTTACAGGACAATATAAAATTTTATTCACAATACTTAACCATAAACGAAAAATAAAATGAACAAAAAAAGAAAAACTAATTCTAATCACCTACTTCAAGTACACGATAGCAATTCTGATAATATTATGAAGGTTAGTGAAGAATAAATCACCATGGGCACAAATGATTTTGAAATTTGTGCACATAACATATATTGGGGCATTGAGCATAATGTTAGTTCTTGCTCTGAGAGGTCTAAAAATGGATTGTGATCGTGAAGCTGGCCATGGTATATTGAAGTTAATTTGTTGGAGAATTTTGAAATAGTCAACTCTCTCATTCACTAACTTGAATAAAAATATGAGCGACGCACATTTTCTGCGATGCTCTAAACTAAAAATTCCAAACGTTCATATATGACATCATTACTGATACCTCTCTCAGGGTAAGAACCATCTATTCTGAAAATTAGAAATTTACAAAACTTTCTTTCAATGGCTATGTTATGAATCTCATAGAATGGACTCCAGACGATACTTGTATATTCTATCTTCGAACGTATGTAGGTGAAATACAACAGCTTCATGGCTTTAATATTATGAAACCACAAGCTCTGCGAGATTCTGAAACTTTTTGTGAAATATGTCTACCAAATGTTATTTCATGATCAAATATTACCCCTAGGTCTTTGATCTCATTACATCTCAGCAGATCTGAATCCTGTATTACATACAGGAATGTATAAACCTCTTTTTTTCGACTAGAGTCACTTCTTTACATTTCTCCACATTAAGTTTCAATTTATTATTGCTACACCAAGCAACAAGAAATTCTAATTGAGATTGAAGATTTACACAATCACCTACTTCCTTAATTATAGAAATATTTTAGCTAATTTCCAAATATCTGGGAATGTTCCAGATATCAGACATGAATTAAAAATTCTCGTTGGAGGTTTTGCTAATGCTCCTGCACAATCCTTCAGCAAAAATGATGGGATCATATCTGGGCCTGATTTCAGTTTGTCCTTTAGTTTTTTAGTTGCAGATATAACCTCATTTTCTTGATTGGGGTGAAAATGAATATGAACATTATTATTCACTGTACCAACTTTGTTCAAAACTGAGCCAGATTTTGAATACACCTCACTGAAAAAATTACTGAAGGCATCAGTCATTCGTTCATGGGTAAGATATGAAGGTATGAAGAACTTCTCATAACGAGTATTCAGAAACTGAATAGAGAAAATATGAAAAACGTTTGAAATATTTTTTTGTAAAAAATCAATTGACACTGGGAAATTAATGGATCTGTATTATTTACCACGTATAGAAAAGAAAGACTGAATAATAATGATAATAATAATGATAACAATAATAATGATAATGAATAAGCAGGAATGGGCACTAACACCCTTGGCCTTTGGTGAGTTGCGCCACCACTTACCCGAGCAACTGGTGCAAAACCGGACCGGCAGCCCAGGCGCACCCGGGAAGGAGAACACTAGTCTCCCTCCGGTGCCGGCCGTCAGTCCACAGAGCTAACCACCCGGTAGACCCAAATACTTGGTTCCTGGTATTCAAGGAAGGGGCCCCCACAATCGACCCGCTCGGAGTAGTCGGAGGCAAGGTGGTGGGGGCCATAACGATGATTTGCCTACTGATGACAACCCTGTCATTAACAACGGACGCTTTGAGTGGACGCATGAGCTAAGAGATAGGTTTATGCATTGTTACGAGACTAGTGAGCCCGCGCGAAGAGGGTACATCGCGAGATTGCATGCTCTATGGTGTGAAACACATCTGGAGCATGTTGCCTTTTCCGCCCAAAACCTTAAGGATTACGTATTTTATCTTCGCCGGCAGGGTTATTTAGCTCCTTCCCAGCCTGCTAACGAAGTGGTAGAAGTGACAGTTCTACCACCCGTTGGCACGGCTGGAGAGGACACTCGCACCATACCACCAATGGAGACGACAATCAGAACACGCAGGGCGCACCACAGAATTAGGCCCCTGAAGCCACAAGAGCTGACTTGTTTGGATGCGGAGGTTCATAGTGCTCTAACAGAAGAGGCTGACATCTGGCAAATCAACACCGCCGTGTATAGCGTCGTCCAATCGCTTTCCGAATCGGAAGGACGAAATCCCTGCTTTGCGATTCGGGAGAATGAACGGCGTGTACACAAGATGGAGGCTGAGATTACGTTGGCGAGACAAAACTCGTCTCGTATCCAATGTGTGATGGATTACAGGGCAGCCAACAGGCCTTTCACGCTCGCACTGCGGCGAATAGCCGCCAAACTACGGCGTATCCATCACACTTTGAGTCAAGGCATGCTGCTGGTCAGCAAACTGTACTGCCTTGATAGGATACGAATGCTAGTGGCTGCTAAGAAGTCACTAGTGTGGCGAGCGAGAAGTATCGCAGAAAACCTTAGGTTCCGCGAGAAACCTTCTCGTTTATTCCAAGGGCCTCCACGTGTTGTGGAAGGAATCCTTCTGGAAGGATATCTATGAAAAACCGCAGCCACTCAACTTAGACACTCCAGCCCTAGCGCAGTTCGAAGCTTTCAACAGAGAGCTTTGACAGCCTGAGCTCACTGAACTGCACAACCCAATAACTCCGGATGACGTTTGAAGGGCCCTTGTGGTTTCCAAGAACTTTGCCGCTCCAGGCTCAGATCGGCTGAACACTTATTGGTGGAAAAACTACGAAGCACCCACCGCCATCTGGCCAGAGTTTTCAACTCATGGCTGGACGGAGAGCAGCCGATTCCGGATTGGTTTGTCGAGGGATCGTTCTCATCCCCAAAAGCGGAGATTTGTCGATTCCTAAGAATAACAGACCGATAACATGCTTGAATTCGTGTTATAAGTTGTTTACAAGCATCTTATACACACGAATACTCACCGCAGTTGACCGAGTGTTCGAACAGATATATGAGTAGAGAGAATCGAAGAGAGGAGTCGCTGGATCTAAAGAGAACCTGCTTATCGATAGATGTGTAACCCAGGACTCTATACAATATAAGCGCAACTTCTCTATGGCCTGGATCGATTACCGTAAGGCATTTGATTCAAATTTCGCATGAGCTCATCTTGCATTTGCTCAGATGCCTTGCGGTATCCGACAAAATAGTGAGATGCATTGAACAACTGAAACCACTCTGGCGAACTCGCTTCACCGTAACATCTGGTCAAGCCAGAGTCCAAACAGGATGGGTCACTATCAGAAGGGGTGTATTTCAGGGCGATTCCGTCAGTCCCCTTCTTTTCTGCAATTCACCATTGTCATTATCCGTTGCGCTCAGAAATACTCGAGGGTATAACTGTGGCACCCCTGGAAACCGGAGGCACAAGGTCATCCATTTGTTTTATATGGATGATCTTAAACTTTATACCTCTGGAGAGAAGGATCTTCATCAGTCCTTGAGGGTGGTGGGAGAGTACACGCATGCTATCGGTATGAAATTCGGGATAGACAAATGTACAATGGTTCATCTCAAAAGAGGTCGATGCGGGAACTACGGAGAGGATGTGCAGCTTGTAGATGGAAGCATCCTACGGATACCGGAGAGACGTATACTTACCTCGGGGTGGAACAACGTCACTCACAAGAAGTAACAGCAGTGAGTAACTCTCTCCGCGGCAAGTATCAGCACAAACTTTGACAGATCTGGTCATCGGAATTGTAGGGGAAGAACAAAGTTGCTGCAACAAATATGCTTGCCGTTCCAATATTACTCTACTCGTTTGGAGTAGTGAAGTAGACTCGGGAGGAGCTGTATCAACTCGACGTAAAGACCCGAAAAATGATGCATCTCTATAGGAGTTTGCATCTCTATAGGAGTTTGCATCCCAAATCGTCCGTTTCACGGTTGTACTTTCCCCGACAACAGGGAGGCCGTGGACTTTTGAGTTTGGAGTGTCTACATGAGAGAGCAGGAATTGTAGGATTTCTTTTCAGGGCAGCTGCCCGAGGGGCTGATGAACTCAGTTTAGTATTCAACACTGAACGAGGTGACCACAACTCTGTCACCAAGTTGGAACCTGCTCAGCAAAAAGCTCATATAAAAGCCGCAAAGATCACCTCACTTCCGCAGAAACACAAGGATAAGCCAATGCATGGGGTCTTCTTCAATTACATTGAAGACATTGGCTTATCAAAGCGCCTGACTTTCACTTTTTTCAGTTCGAGTGGGCTGAAGTCGGAAACTGAGGGGTTCATCATGGCTTGCCAGGATGGTGTCTTCAACACCTTAGCCTAACGCAGTGGCGTGATGGGTATAGAGGTTCGTGACACAAGGTGAAGGGCCTGCCGCGAGGCGCCCGTGACCCTAATGCAGTTGCTATCAGCATGTCCAGCATATACGGTCTTGGCCTATATCCATCGACATAACACGGCCCTAAGAGTGCTATATTACCATCTACGGCACTCTTACGGTTTTGACGAGACACCTGTGTTGCCCTACGCTCCGGGGGATATTGAATCCGTTGTGGGAAACGAGAAGTGCCGAATTTATTGGAACCATCTACGGCACTCTTACGGTTTTGACGAGACACCTGTGTTGCCCTACGCTCCAGGGGATATTGAATCCGTTGTGGGAAACGAAAAGTGCCGAATTTATTGGAACTATTCGTTCCCCACCTTCAGGCTCATACAAGCTGATAAACCTGATGTAGTCCTTCTCGACCACCAGAGCAAGACGATATTTGTCATGGAGTTTTCAGCTCCTGGCGAGACGAATATCGTCCGAAAAGAGGAGGAAAAACGGATAAAATATCGAGATTTTCTCTTCGAACTCCGCAGACTGTATCCAGACCACTCTGTCAAGATGGTTGTTTTGATTGTTGGAGTCCTTGGTGGAATGATGCCCTTTCTACTCTCGGCTTGCCGCACTAATAGACATCTTAGCTGGACAGATGCAGAAGGCTGTCATTCTTGACTCACTGCGCTTGCTCAGAACACATGATTCTCGGACCCAATGATCACTCACTCCACGGTGTGGGGAGTGGTCGTTGGTTGATAATGCTGGCGTGCCCTCCCGAATGTATCGGGGCTTCGGGGGATAGGGCCTGACCAGCGCACACTACGGTGAAAAATAATAATAATAATAATAATAATAATAATAATAATAACCCTTCATTCACCTAAAGATACAGAATATACAAAAAAATAGAGGTGAGTGGGCGGAATGTATAATAATAATAATAATAACCCTTCATTCACCTAAAGTGAGAAGATACAGAATATACAAAAAAATAGAGGTGAGTGGGCGGAATGTCATTTTGAAAAAATATTTATTATTCGGTCACCTAATCTTTTGTGTAAACGAATGAGTCACGGTCAATATGAGGAATGTAAACTACTCAAATAAATGCTGTTTGAGTCTTGTTTAAAAGTTTTTCAACGTGTAGGATCTGAATTCACTGGGCGAGATATTGTAGAATTCAGCTGCGTTGTATGAGAAGCTGCGAGTAAAAACAGAAGACCTGTGTTCAGGAATGGCCAGGTTTCTGGTGAAAAAGCTGTTAATATTTGAAAAAGAAAGAAATTTTAATGAAATAATGTGGTATTCCGGTGTTCAAGACTTTGTGGGTGTTTGTGAGTAGGTGCAGTGTCCCGAGTTTCTCTAGTTGCAGCCAACCTGATTCATTCATGACAGGTGATATGTGGTCGTATGCCAAAAGAAAAACGAAGACAACTATGTTGGATTCGTTGAAGACGGAGGGAATCAGATTGAAGTAACGCAGGTCCATAAATGCTATGGCAATATGAATCTTTTGAAATGATTAGCATCTCACATAATTTCAGTTTGAGATGTTTGGTAAGTTCAGATTTGGAAACAGTTGCCTCAATATGTTACAGGACGTTTGGATCAAATGACTAACGTGTTTTGTGAAGCGCTGTACATAATCAAACCACAGGCCTGAGTTCTTTGCTTCAGTTGCAGAAGGCAGAACGTCACCATCTATATAAATATGAAGACTATTTTTAGCAATATGTCGCAATCTTTCCAGTGAGTAGATATGGTAGATAGGTGAGTGATGAGTATATCTATGAGACTCACCACTATAACTTGAAAAGGTTTGTTTTGTTGCACTATTCAAACTCGACCAAGGAAGCCGATTACTTCATTTGGTGAGCTATATTTCAAATCTGTTTCCAAGAATGCGACTCCACTGCGACTCCACCAAATGTGACACAGAGGCACAGAGAATGTGCCCTGCTTTTCCAGGCCCGAACTCATTCGTAAAGAATAATCCACCCCACAGTTGACAGACCATGGTGAATATTCCTCAATCCAATGAGGACCTGATCGACAGTTAGGATGACCGTAACCTTCGTCACGTAGGTGAGCATTTCAAATGTGTGGTTTGAGAAGTAAATCGTTTGTGCTCCCTTCCATAACTGCAGGGTTCTGACTGTACCCGCCAGTTAGAAGATTATCTGCTGATTCTCTCCGGTATCCTGCAGCCATCCAGGCCAGAATGAGCAGATCTGGAACTGTATCCCTGGATCATCTTTTGGAGTATCCCTTAACTCTAAAGCATCCTTGATGGCACACTGAAGAGATCGAGGTGTTGATTGTTCAAGATGCAATATTTCCACCGTAATGACTCGGGCACCTTCATATCAGAGGGAATTTGTAAGTCAGCTATACCTGATGATACATTAGATTCAGCCATACAGGGCTAATGATCTTTCGAACGTAAATGTTGACATTTCTACACAGAGGGAAGTTCGATGTGAATTCTGATAAAGGGTAGATTCATAAGTTACCCTGCTCTCGAAGAGGACCAAGAGAAATAGGACCAAAAAAACTGAAATGTGAAAACTTGGATGTGAATTCATATTTGCTCCAGGATTCGAAATAAAGATTTACGATTACCTTGATTTCCTTTCCCCCAGAAATATAATTATACGCTCCTCTCAAATCCCCTCCAGCCTTCTTTCTCTCTGTCTTAGCGATATCAGGAACATTATACCCATAGATATATCCACCAATGCCGTCTTGACCGTGGTATTGCTTCGCTAGATAAATGTCTTCTTTCACGTGATGGGGTTCGTTTCCAAGGAATCGTATAGCTGGAACATTGCTTTCGATTTTCGGGGCGTAGTGAAGAGATTGATCGTGGTTCTCGATGATCTTTTGAGCATCCGCTGGTTCCAAATCAAACAGCCTTACTTCTTCGGTAAGTAGTGATGGAAACGCATATTGGAGTGCGAACTAGAAAGAATAATTTCGATCAGTATATTTCTAGATAGCAACTGCATGTACTGATGATGGATAAAAGGGAAAAGGAAAAGCTAACTTTTCATATATATTAGTTATTATAAAATTTCAGTGAATTAAAAATTGAGTTCACTTATTTCAAATACATGGACAAAGTTGAAGTTATTTATTATTGAATTAACTTTTTAAAGGAAATGAAAAAACGAGTGTTTGCTGAATGTTTTTGTAATGTTAACTGATATTTTCAATTTACTCAGAAAGTTGGTAAGAATTAAAGAGATGGAAATATTTCAAGCTCTAAAAATGGTCAAGTTGAAACCATAATTTATCCTGTTTTTTCAATGGCGAGAACGTTTTAGCAATCAAAATGTATGACAGCTAATTTCTTGTTTAAAACCAAAACCCAAAAACAAAGCATTCGCGATTAAACACCAGAGTGTGCTGTTTCGACCCGCCATAGTTCTCATCAATGGTGCTAGACTGAACTGAGAAACAAGCCTGAGTGACCGAAGGCAATGACGCCATCAACGGGATCTACAGAAGACTCAGTTTATGAATATTAAGGATAAACGAGGCTCCCAAAAAGAGAAATGAAAAATTGAGTATATAACATAAAAAGTTACAAATCAAGCAATGTAACAGTACTGACACAAAAGTTATTTATAGTATTATTAAAAGTTATTATGGATACAAGATACTAAGGCGTTCAGAGATTCGAAATGAATTTCGCAGTATTCACAGATTTTATTGAAGCTACTGCACATAAAATTCAATGGTGATCGTAGCATCATATTTGTGCGTGATGCTTCGCAATAGAATTTCAGATTGTGTCGACCTTCACTTCTTGGTACTGAGAAATTGATCTCGGGTAAAAGAACCGTACTGTCAATATTGTTGTTGAGTAATTTATGCAGGAATTTTATACCAAGGATAACTCTACTATTTTCCAAAGATGTCATCAAATCGTGTCAACAATATGTCATCATCGATGCCTCTCGTGGGGTATTGACCATCAATTTTTAGACATAAGTATTTTAGGAACTTCCTTTGCACGCTCTCACTTGATGTTTTTTGGTAGTCGTAAACCGGATTCCATAACAAAGAGCCATACTCTAACTCAGATCTGGCATACGCAAAATATAGCAAACACTCGCGACAGAATCGATTTGACGATATTTTATGGGGAAGGTGCTCCTTTCTTGACTGACTCTTCTCTTCAGTTAAGGTGGTTCAAAAGTGTTTGGTGAAACACATTTGTAGTAAAAATGAATGACCGCAACGTTTTTCCGTCAAAATAATATCATATGGATACAAGATACCAAGGCGTTCAGAGAGTCGAAATGAATATCGCAGTGTTTACAGATTTTATTGAAGCTACTGTACATAAAATTCAATGGTGATCGTAGCATAATATTTGTGCGTGATGCTTCGCGATAAAATTTCAGATTGTGTCGACCTTCACTTCTTGATACTGAGAAATTGATTTTGGGTAAAAGAACCGTACTGTCAATATTGTTGTTGAGTAATTTATGCAGGAATTTTATACCAAGGATAACTCTCCTATTTTCCGAAGATGTCATATCAAATCGTGTCAAAAATATGTTATGATCGATGCCTTTCGTGCGGTATTGACCATCAACTTTTAGACATAAATATTTCAGGAACTTCCTTTGCATGCTCTCGATTGATGTTTTTTGGTAGTCGTAAACCGAATTCCATAACAAAGAGCCATACTCTAACTTAGATCTGGCATACGCAAAATATAGCAAACATTCGCGACAGAATCGACTTGACGAAATTTTATGGAAAAGTGCTCCTTTCTTGACTGACTCTTCTCTTTAGTCAAGGTGGTTCAAAAATGTTTAAGTGAAACACATTTGTAGTAAAAATTAATGACCGCAACGTTTTTCCGTCAAAATAATATCAAAAAAAGCCCAGATGATAGAACCAACAGACTGATTGTAGGAAAAAATCATCACTGAAATTCCGGAATTGATCACCGGTATACGCTGTCTTTTGAAAAAATAAGGTGAATTTTTATTTTTCATAAAAAATATTTGTTTATTCATCAATTTCGTCCCCTTCAAAGGGGACACTTGTGCCAGCGTTTTTCCAATCTTTGGAGCAGTTCTGATATTTACTTCTTGATATGTCTTTGAGCTACAGAGTCAGATGCTACAAATTCAATACGCAAATATACAGATGGCTCAAAAACCAAAGGATGTGGAGTGTACTCCAGATCACTAAGCCTAAGAATTAATTGGGAAATGGATAAAAATTCCAGCGTGGTTCAAACAGAACTGGCTGGTATCTCAATCGCCACAAAAGAAATAACCAGTGGAAGCAATTTCTGGCAAAAACATAACAATCTACACTGATAGCAGACAAGCCCTATTAGCCGCCTTGAACAGACAACGTGTTACCTCAGGGCTAGCACTAGATTGCCACCAAGATTTAGCCAAAGTCTCGGTAGATAATAACATTATCCTGAGGTTAATTAAAGTGCACGACAGGAGTGAAGGTTATCGCATTGCCGACTCTTTAACCAAGGAAGTGGCTGGACTAAGAATTTTAGGACCCAGTGACGCCTACGGTCTGATGACTTCGACAATTGCGAAACTAGCCAAACGTTACACCCATGTTCAATCCCTAAAGAGATGGGATGGAATCAAAAGATGCAATCTTACCAGGATCACCTTGGGCGACCCTGGGAAGCTGGCGCCGAAGAAATATCTGACTGGCCACTGTCAACTAAGGAGACACCTAGTGGTGTGGGGTTAGTGGACACAACTCTATGCAGGATGGGTGAAGAGGAAGATGAAACTGTCAGGCATGTCCTTTGCGAATGTCCGGAGTTATCGTCAATGAGAGAATGAGTGTTCGGCGAGTCTTGGTCTACACCTGCCGATATAAAGGATATATCTCCCAGAGACCTGTCCACCTTTCTGGAAAAAACAGGATGGACGATGACCTAGGAGGACAACTCCTCGGGGGATGTACAATGGGTCACATGTGGCCTAAGTGCTGTGGGCCTACACTCACCCTCCCCACTCTACAGATACAGATGTCTTTGTGCTCTCTTAGTGACTCGGTTTTTGTATCCTCAATTGTCGCAAAACGACGTCCTTTCATGGGCCTCTTCAATCTTAGGAACAGAAAAAGTCGTAGAGGGACGAATTAGGTGAATACGGTGGCTGAGGCTTGATTACAGTGTTGTTTCTGGCGAAAACATCACGATCAAGCAATGACGAGTGAGCAGAGTGTATTACCGTGATGCAAAAGCTCATTGCTTTTCGTAAGCGGTGCATAACTTCAAGATAATAGTCCTTATTGAAAGTACGAACATGTGCCATGGTAATCAAAAAAACAATGAGCAAAACCTTGACATATGATAGAACTTGGCGTGCTTTTTTTTGTCTTGGCTCTCCTGGGCTCTTCCATTGGGACGATTGGACTTTGGTTTCGATATCATAATCTTATACCCATAGTTCGTCGCCAGTTGCGACCCTTCCAAGCAAATCGGGATCGCCGATATGAACGATGCTCATACGACGGTTTTTTTTGGTCAAAATTCAGCAATTTTGAAGCGAAATTTGCTGCCACACGCTTCATGACCTAAATTTCCGAAAAAATTGCATGGCATGAGCTAAGCGATGTCATCACATTATTAACACCTTAAAGCATGTAACTATATCTTCATTATTTATAGAAAGTAATAGGTTGGATCTTCATATAAATTTCAAAATTTTTTTGTCGTTAATTGATCTTCAAAAATGTTTCGTTATGATTTATATTCATTATAAAATAAAAAATAGTCCATCCAAATAACCCTCAAATATTGAATGAACTTCAAAAATAATATAAAATAAAAAATAGTCCATCCAAATAACCCTCAAACATTGAATGAACTTCAAAAATAGCATGAAACAGTTCTTGAGTTTATTACTATAAATATCCTCCACTCAACTGATGAACAGATTTTCAACAGTACTAGCTGAGGATAAATAAATGAAAATTGAATTGAAAAAATTCAACATGTGTTTTGAAAACAAAAAATCCTGTTATTAATGCCTGACAATACATGATCAACGATTTTGGAGCTTCCAAATCATTAAAAAATATATATTTCAATGTATTTCGGGTGAAATGCAAAGACGTCTATATTGGATGGATTGGTGAATATCTGAATAACCGTATATCAGAACACAAAATAAGTTTTAAATCTGTCAACCCAGCGACAGTTACGCCCACAACTACTTTAAGTCGATATGAAGCATAATTTTCATGTCTATGTGTTTGCTTAACAAATAATCTATGGAAGCTACCCCTTTAGGATGTGATTTACACAAAACAAAAAAGAGATCATCTAAGCCTCAACTAATACATGTTTGATTCCAATCATCATATTATAATCTGATAAACTATATTTCAAAAAGACAAAATAAAATTTGAATAAATGAAAAATATTTTATTGTGTCACCGAGTAACCGTAGATTATATGTTTGTTCATGTTTTTTGAAAAACAAAAACAACAATTAATAATTTCCAAGTTAAATTAAATAATCGAAAATGCAACTTATGACCAGGTTATATATTTGCATCTTCCACATTGCTAATCAAGATGATCATTCTTAGCTCAGAAGGAACAACTGATTTGAAATAACTCTCAAATAAATGTGAATAACAAGTGATTTTTCCCATTAAATGCCGACAAAGAGTATCTAAACAAAATATTTGAATTATCGTATTACGACCTTCAGAGGGGACCCCAATTTTCATATTTTGTTGAGGATGACCTTAATTGCTGTAAGGAAAACAGTCCCTTATTAGAAGTCAATTTTTTGGAAGAGTAATTACTTATATCCTATGATGAAAATGTTGCCGTTTCAATCAGAAACCTCATAGACATTTAATGAATGGAAAATATAAAATATTTCATTTGGAAAACAACTCTATTTCTTCTCTTCATGTATTCATTTTTTTTACCCTTTCGCAATCAGGAAAAATGTAAATTGATGAAAAATATCCCCGACTTCAATAATGGCAAACTGAAGATATTTTTGACATCTGAAGAAAACATTCTCAATCAAGGCATTTTTAAGATGAATTTTGAAAATGGAAACTGCTTACTGAAACGTTGTCCATTTGTAAAAAAACTAGAAAATTAAGTATAAACATTATAAATATTAGTGTATCCGTTAATTCCGTTAGAAGTCTTTCAAAAAATAACTCTATTGTTCTTTCACAAAATCAATATTATTCTCAATTTTCTATAGTTTTTTTGCAAGAATTCAGTAACCTGATGACTAAAATATCCAGTGGCGATACTTGACGGAAAGTTCAGCATCAAGGACTATTGAACGTCGAAAATCTGCCTCAAACGCCATACTCTCCAGACCTTCCGCCAAGCACTTCGATAACTCACCAGTAATACCTTTTCCAATCAGGACTAGACAAAAACGGCCTTCGTTGACTTCATCGAATCCCAATTTTTTGATGTGGGAATCAATCGAAATGTGTTACGTAGGCAATTTGCAGTGATTCAGAGGGCGCTTATTTTCGATTGAATTGAATGATGATTCACTGAGATATTACAGTTCAAAGTAGACTAATGGAAACGGACAAAAATTTCGAAACAACCTAATGGATACTGCGAATTCTCAGTATATTTTCTACCTAAACAATGACAATAATCCAAGGTGAATTATATTTTGCTTTCAATATTTATGTATTCAATTACATTTTGAAATTTTCTAGTACCTAGTACCTAATATCATTTCAATTCATTCACTATGCACATTTCTTCTAGGTACACAAGTAACGCGCTTTGAAAACTGTAATATCATGTTATTATTTCAATGCACTTAAATTGTGGTTTCAAATATTATGATGTGCATGTATAAAATTATTATCCTCTCCTTCACATATTAAGAATAAAAAATCAAAAACAATTTTGCTTCGAAATAAAGTATACATAAAAAATGTGAACTGAAGTTCGCACATTCATTTTAGTCGTGAATTAGTCGTTAATTATCTCCTCGATAGGAAGACTTAACAGATTGTCTCTGGTCTGGATTCCTGGCCATACTGGCCTGGAAGGTAATGAAGCTGGAGACTCTCTTGCAAAGGAGGGTGCTGCCAGCGGCTTCATCGGACCAGAACCCGGCATTGGCATCACTTTAGGCTTCGCCAAACAAAGATCGAACACCTGGATGGCAAGAAGATTTATTTATTCTGGCAAAATATTCCAGGATTGGCTCACTCCAAAGCGTTTATTCACCCTTCGAAGCTTGATACCAAACAGTTGTTGGACCATAGTAGGGATGACCTACGATGTCTAACAGGCCTTCTTACAGGTCACTGTCATTCGAATCATCACATGCAGAGACTTGGACGGTCGGAAGACAGTGTGTGTCGCCTCTGTTTAGAAAATGATGAAACAGCAGAGCACATACTATGTTCCAGCCCTGCTGGAGACCGAATCGGATTTTTAGAGTTCGGCAAAGCTGTACTCTTACCATCTGACCTGAAAGACCACTCACCATACAAACTAATCGGCTTCGTTAAGAAGCTGGGTTCTTCTGGTCGAGTGGTGTGAGCCACAATAAACCCTTGCGGGTTGCGGTGGAGGGTCGAATAGACCCACCCACTTTGGATCTAACCTAGTCGTTGATTAGTCAAAATGAATCACTTTAGACTTGTAAAACATTTCTTCCCATCATCCACCAATGTTTCATTTTAGGTTCGAACAGAAAAAAAATTATCGAAATTAATAATTTTCCTTGCAGGTATTTACAAACACAAAGATGCCTTGTTTTGCAATTCAATTGCCCAACGTTCTCAAAAAAGTTTTCGTACAAAAAGCTACTCTATGCAATAAATTAAATAAAGTTACATGGATTCAATTTCAAACTGGAGCAGTATTTTGGGAAATTTATCGGCGGATGGCTCACTTGAATTCTTGCATAATTTTTGAAAACTTGGTACAATCGGAAAAACAAATCCGCTCCACAAACATGGTAATTCGATTGTATGACTGAAGTAATTCATACAATAATATTATAAATCCGATTACTTTAATACCAGCCGTAAAAATTGGATTCGTGAAAAAAGTATCGTCATGTATTGAATTTCTGTGACTGGGATTGAAATAATTGAATTCAGTTAAGAAGTTGGATAAATGATTTCTGATGCAAGTCGCAAATTTTCCGGTAGTGTCAAATATTTAAAATGCGTTAAAGAATTTTGAGTGAATCGTTGTTCAAAATATCCAAAATACAGTTGTTGAGCCTTCAAACCTTCAAGACATTTGGAATTCAGTTTGTACCAAAATCAAGTGGAATTTTCTATCATTACAATCTCATTTATTGTATTATATTAGGTTACCATTGACAAGTTTTTAGTCAATTAGCATTATAAACGCTTAGTGGATAAATTCAATTTCCATTGGTTGTTCCAGAAGCAGTTGTTTGTATCCGGAAAATACTTCTTTCAGAAATATTGACATTATAAAGGTTTAAGTCAACATGAAGAACAAAAATTGGTGTAATATTTGAAGACTATCATGAATGGTTCACGTAATTTTGTGATAAAAAAAATATATTTCAGGAGTGATTAAATAATACTTTTTAGCAATATGATTCTGTGATGGTTTTATTTTTTACGGTTTTACAAAATACGTTGAAAAGAATCGAATAAAAAAAGATTTTGCTTCAGCTTGTAGTTCACCTTCACTTCACAACACTTCGTTATATAAACATTTATTCATATTGACAAAACAAATGATCAGCAATAGTTCCATCACTGAGGAATATGGTTCGAGTACTCACCAAAAATAATAAAACTCTCATTTTCTACAGCGACACTCACTGTGTAAACTGTGAAACAATTTTAGCCTAAAACGAATAAATGTTTTGTTTAAATATTCAACTAGCTAATAACAATCTCCTATTTATAACTGGTAAATCCGCAATCTTCCCCTTCCATTTCGCTTAAAACCGAAGATGAGCATATCCTGAACCTAACTTACCTGTTGAGGCGGTTCCTAAATGGCGTTTTAATTACCAGAATACACTTAGAAGTGAATTCTTGCGGCGAGATATAGCCGAATTGATTGATTCATGATATTGCTCTTCCTGTTGATGCTTCGATAGATTCTACGGGTATTGATCAATATTTTTCGTTCAAATTATTTGAATTTGAAGGTAAAGTTGTTCAAATCTGTTCATATGCATTGGACATTGAAAAGCAACATGAACCACATAAAGTTTGCCCTACAGATCAGCTGAATGGAAAGAGTTTCCAGAATGTTTACGAATCTTCACCTTCTATTAAACATAGAAAATACATTTTTATTTCCAACAGAATATAAGTTAGAAAATTTCTAACTTATCTATGAAATAGTATGAGCAATTTATTTTTTAAAGGTTTTGTCCAATTCAATGATTTACCTGACTCAATTAAATCTACTCTATCATTAAAATAAAAGTTCATTAAATCAGATAAACTTCTACATCGCTCAACCGATCGTGATGAAACTTGACATCTATAAGTAATTTTTTATAGAGAAGGTTTTTAGGCTTTCAAGTTTTCTGTAACTCGTCACTAGATGGCGCTGTAGAACAATTTTTTGAAATAACTACTCCCAGAAAGCGGAAGAAACGTATACCTTATATCAACACAAAAAATGAAGTGAGTACAACTAATTGAACAACGTAAGCTATTATACAAGATATGATTGTCTGTGTCTGTTTGAAAGTAGTTGACAATGTTTTTTGCTGAATGTTACAAGTTTGGACTTTTAATAAAACAAATGGAAAACAAATGTGAAAACAAATAAAATGGAAATTATTGAAATGTAATCATCCAACGAAACAATTCGTTCAAGCCAGTCTCAATTCCCTAATACACTGTAGGTTAATGGAGTGACGCCTGTCAGAAAACAACTACTCCACTGGCTAATACCACAAAGGGCGTTGGATTATATCCGACAGGTGTCAGTACAGGATTCTCCACTGAAGTTATTCCTATATATGCTGTTGGCGATAAAACTGCCGCAACAGATTTTCACATTTGTATTCCGGTTTCGGGCTATTTGCCACACGTCAGTGCACGGTAGGGTCTATCTTTTCACATATAGTCAGTGGGTATACTTGGAGATTGGGTATGAATCAAATCATCTGAAAGAACAATTCGTTCAGGATACAATCGGATAATGCCCTTCGTGGCATTGTTTCTTTAGATGATTTGATTAATATCCAGCCTTCAAATATGCCCACTGAGTATGAATATTACTGGAGTTTTTCCCAACACCAAATCGTTATTTTTAACACCTCGACACGTGTTTCGATCACCAAGTGATCATCTTCAAAGAGGAAGATTAAAACTCCAGTAAAAAACTCCAGTAATATTCATTACTACACCAAAGGTTCCAAACAGTGCATCATAAGCCCACTGAGTATGTAAAAAGTTTTCTTTCATCATCCAAGGAATTGGGGAAATTTCGGATATGCGGTTGGTTACCTCGTTCACAGGCAGATGAGGCAATGACAAACGTGCACTGACACCTGTCGGATATAATTAAACGCCCTTCGTGGTATTAGCCAGGGAAGTAGTTGTTTTCTGATGGGTGTCAGTTCATTAACCTAAAGTGTAGGGAGTTGAGACTGGCCTGAACGAATTGGTATTTTAGATGACTTGATTTATAGCGAGTCTTCAAATATGCCCACTGACTATATGTGAAATGAATGAAATGTAGAAAATTATTGGAATTACTGAAACAAACGTCCGAAATATTCAGATGGATTATACAAAACAGAAATTATGTCAAAAAGAGAGAAAAAAATGGAGCAGAAATGAATAAGCAATGAGTATGAAAAATTATAATAATTGGATGATGTTTACGGATCTGTAGTAGACTCACAGAAACCAAGTCATCAGACAACGGGGACTAGGACTACAGAAATTGCGTTTATCGAATACCAAGTAAGTGCGGTAAATCCTATATCGGTAAAACCAAGAGGCTTTCGAAAGTCTATATTGGTGAGAAAAACTAAAACCTGTGGCATAGAATAAATCTATAAATAAGCACTTTACCGAATCAATCTTCTCGACGTGTGATTAACCAACCAAGTGAAACGCGCGTCGAGAAGAGTATTGCATTTTTGGTGATTGGGAAAACTGCTTGTTTTTGAATATATTGGCGAGAACAACTCCCAGCGAGGAGAAAACAGCAAATCTGAAGTAGTGTTTGGACTCATCAGCAAACCATCAAGTGATCTCAAGCTGAAATCATCCGCAGTGAAGAACACTAGGTTAAGTAAAAGCTCAAAGGAAATTCGACCACGTTGCACTTAACCAGGAATGAGAAGAGGAAGGGAAGAGGTGCCCAAATGATATTTCTTCCGATATTCTGTATCTGTAACTGTATCTGTAGAGTAGGGAGGCTGAGTGTGAGCCACATCACTTAGGCCACATGTGACCCAGTGTACATCCTTCCGAGGAGTTGTACTCCTAGGTCATCGTCCATCCTTTCCTTTCCAGGAAGATGGACAGGTCACTAGGAGACATATCCTTTATATCGGCAGGTGTAGGCCAAGACTTTCCGAACACACACTCTCTTATTGACGATAACTCCGGTCTCATCTTCCTGTTCACACATCCGGCATAGAGGTGTATCCGCTAGCCCTATATTATGGAGGTGTTTTCTTAGTTGACAGTGGCCAGTCAGAAATCCTACTGTTAAGCGTAGATTTTTCCTGGTCATCGTCAGATATTTCTTCGGCGCCAGCTTCCCAGGATTTTATCTTGATATTTAAATTGTAGTGTACCTACTCTGTCTGTACTTGTACTTATCATTTTAACATTTAACTTTTTACTCTGTAA